CTCAACTGAGAGGGAGTAGAAGGCTATTTCAGTTAGATCTGCCTAAAAAAAATGTGGTCTGATGGTACAATAGTACTTTGCTACAAAAGGAAAACACTGTATTCCTTATATGAAGCACATTTATAGTACTTTATTTATAATTAAAAACCTGAATATTTTTCTCAAATCAGTTATTCAAATACCGTACTTTTTTTTGTAAAAAAAAAAAAAAGTTTTGTAATATGTATCATGCCATATATTTTGCATTAACTGCTATTCCTGTATTGCTTTGCCCTTCATTATTAAGTACACCATTCAGATTTTTAGTGGCTAATAAAAACTTCTACCACAAAAGATAGTTACTTTTCTATGCAAGCTGTGCAGATGATAACAATTCAGTAATAGGAATTTGACTTATTTGTGCTGTCATATATAACTGTCCTAATTGTCTAGTTCTAGGAACTGAATCCTATCATTCACTTGCCCGGTTGTCAATGTGACTTGTTTAGCTTAATTACTATTTGTTTAGCTTAACTAGTAGCAATTTGCTTCTTTTTATTTGTATTTATAAAACTGTACAAGCATATTATTTTGGATTGTTGAGCTAGTATCATAAGGGTTTGACATCAATAAATATTACACAAATTTGAGAAAAATGTATTTTTCTTGGTTAAAAGACCAATACATTCTTAATGAGGCCTCAAAATAAAACAGGCCTGTACTTCTAGGGAGTTTGTTCCATGGAACTTGGTGAGATTTACTTCTAAGTTGCACTTTAGGATCCTACTGCAGGTAGTCCTCATTTAGCAACCACAATTGGGCCTGGAACTTGGTTGTTAAGCAAAACGCTCACTAAATGAAACATGATTTTACAATTTTACTTCAGCTTTCCTTTGGTTTACAGATCTGCAAAGATCATAAATGTGAGGACAGGTCACAAAGTTACTTTTTAATCACCACTGTAACTCTGAACGGTCACTAGAGTCAGTCGCTAAACGAGGACTACTTGTATATACTTCTCAACCAATCCTGTTGATGTTTCCTATTAACAAGTTATAAGAACAAGTGAGAGTTCCAATTTAAAAATTCATTTGCAATTACAAGACTTTAATATCACATCTTATGTTTGTACATGTTGGAAAAGGGGGGGCTGTTTCTATTCTAGGCAAAGATAAAACAAATAACTAATAGAGAAGATCTAACACAGCAATCACTCTGTAAATACTGGGGAAAAAATTACACAAGACATTTTTCATATAAGAATGCCATTTTCTACTTCAGATAATCTTGAAGATAACACTTGAAGCAGTTTTACACTAATTCAGAGCCTTGGCCTAATTAGCTGATGAAGGCTACTGTGACTTGCAGCAGCCTTAGAGTCCCAGATGAAGAAGCATTTTCCAATACTTAATGGTTGAACCCATTACTGGTAAACAGAATGTGTTGTACCACTGACCTGATGTTTGTGATGTATAACATTAACTTAAGACAACTATGCCTTCAATGAACATTCTACATAACAATTATCAGCTAATTAGCAGAATGTATGTTTGACATGCACACCATATCGCCAGCCAAACCTAATATAGTGGGAAAATACATTTATGAAAGATCATGCAACAAAGAAAAAGCATCCTGGAGAATAAAATGGCTTATATGAATTGACTGAATAATGTCCAACAAGGTTTTTGTGTTGCCTGTATGAAAACTGTAAGAGCAGAACCAGTTCCTGTATTTTAAATCACTTTCATATCTAAAAGGTTTCAATATGATATTCAAGCTTCTTAATGCTGTTCCTATGATGTGACTAGAATACAGTATATCTTGAACTGATTCAGAGTTGTAGCAATTTATGTAAACCATAATTAGACTTTTTACATTTTTAGATTTTAAAACACCCTCAAACATTCCAAACACTTTCAACCTGAACATTATCATCTCTTTAGACAGCTGGGAAAACAATTTAAACAGCTAAACCATGGGACCACAGCTGGACATTTCATAGATTCTCCACTGCCCATTTTATCTTTTCATTTTATCCAACTCTACCTAGAGGGCTCTCTATATATGTGACAGAAACCCTGCCAAAAGAAACAGCTGAGGTGTGCTTCAAAACGAATACTGTAGACAAAACTTACCTAGCAGAGAGACTTAAAAACTCTATTTAAATTCTATTTAAGTTATACACAACAATACCACTTAACTGCTAATACAAGAAAGGAGTAAGAAGCTGCAATCGATGGCCATTGGTCTCCCCAGATATTTTCAGAGCTATTGCCCATAATAAAAAATAAACTCTTGTTAATTAAGCCCTAAAACAGAAAGAACCTCTCTGGGGGCTGATGGGAACTTTTGCAGTTCTGAGAAGCACTTTGTAGGCAATCTTAAAAAGAAGCTATCTTGGAGATATTTAACTAGTTACAAAGGAAATTCACAATAGATGTACCTAGTCAGAAATTATTGGTTTACCAGAAACCAAGCAGGTAAGGTTATTTCTTCCTACATCACCCAGTTTCTAGGAATATCTATGTAGGGCGCAAATGTATTCATAACATATATGATGCTAAATGCTGATGATCTGGAGCATGCCAGTGTACCATTTAATTTGTTATTTTTTTCAGTTTGATGAGGGAGTCTAGTTGCTACAAAGAAACATGGCAATGGGCACAAGACTGCCTATCTCTGGCCTAGATCATCCAC